GATGGATGGATAGATGGATAGATGGATGGATAGACAGACAGACAGACAGACAGACAGACGGACGGACGGACGGACGGACGGACGGACGGACGGAAAGAGAGAGAGATGGATGGATGGATGGATGGATGGACGGATGGATGAGCAACCTTCACGACCCAGAAAAGGGGCGACACTAGATCCTCAAAGAGCCAAAATGGGGAATAAGGTGGAACCGACGGGAGACCCACTGGCTTGATGGGGGGGGGTGCTCTGAGCGAGGGAAGCCCGGCAACCCCCTTGCCCATTCAAAATTCAGTGTTCCAGGGACAGGAGAACCAGGGTCCTTTACCCCCTCCAAAAGAGCAGTGTAGGGATAACTATTTGTGTGTGTGTGTGTGTGTGTGTGTGTGTGTGTGTGTGTGTGCACGCCCATGTGTGAATTCACTGCAGATCAAGGCCTTTTTTCCCCACACCCTCAGTTTGTTGTGGATGGTGCCGCATCTAGAACTTTGCAAAATATTCTGCAATTGTTATTAGTTAAGGAGAGGATTGGAAAGTGGAGGCGGGGGATGAAATGAAGACGGGAAAGGAGGTCGAGGAGAGAGAGGGGTGGGCAAATCCTGGCTTGACCCAAAGGATACTCCCTTCTCTTTCCCCCTGCCCGCAAAGAAAAAGGATGGGGGGGTCAGAAGACAGCAAAAGACCCACCGGAATGGCTGTGATGAAGAAATTCCAGGGGAGAAGAGTTCCCAGGCCAAGGAGGAAGAAGATGATTCCTACGCAATGGAACCTGGAAAAAAGAGAAGTCAAAAGCAAATAACGGGATTAATTTAATTTCAATGTGTCTACCACCCATCCATTGACTAACCCATCCTCCAAATAGCAAGCATGCAAAGGGGTCCTAGATGATGGAGATGTCATTTCCCCTCTTTTTTTCCTTCTGACTGTAACTAAAAATGGTAACTGTAAGTAAAGATATCTTCTTCTGCTTTAAATGCTTCTAGAGTGATTTTTCACCATACCATGTGCTGGTTTTGTATGCAAACCAGGGAGAGTGTTTGGTGAGACTGGGCTAATCAGTCCATGTCTATGTGTTTTTTTTTCCTCCTGATACTCTGCAAACTCATTGAAGGAATGGCCAAATTTCTACCAATATCCTCCCTTTTTTAAACCAAAATCCGGAACATGGATCTTCCAAGTCTGAGTCCGACACACCAACAGTGGATTTATCTCTTGAATGCCTCCACTGGAGTCACCCTGAAACTGTAGGAAAAAGCAGAATATACCTAGCAGACTAAAGACTTACCTACATAGACTGTATATTTGAAAATTGCTACACAGCCGTTTCCCACCCACCCCGTTTAGTAGCTCTCCTAACTCCTGTGCAGAGACGGAGGGGATGGAAAAGGAGAAAAAAGAGACTGGAGGAAAGAGAGAGGTGTTTCCACCTCTCATCGGCTCATGTCTGGACTTGAAAAACCAGTTACAAGGAAATACAAATAACACCTCTGTTTGCAAGGAGTGGGGAGAGGCCACCTGCAGCAGAGGGGTGCAGTAGATAAGCCATATACCTGTCCAGAAAAGGTGGAAAATTAACCTCTCTACTTCTAACATCGTAAATTTAGCAATTCAGCCACAGCCAAATCAGTTCCACCAATTTCACGAAAGGGAGAAAACCGTCAAACAAGCCCTTACAACTCCCTCTCGTAAAAGCAATGGCCTGAGGACGCTGGAAGGTTTTATGTAATTACCCCAATTTGTGCCGGCAGGGAAGCAAGCCAACTTTGGAGTTACACAGAGTTCTTTTGTGCAGCAAGATCAGACGGGCTTCCAAGCCCGGAAGCGGAATTTTTCCAAAAAATAATTCTTTAAGAAATCAATGTCTCTCACTTTTCATGTCCCATCTTGCTGCAACTTTTCCTTTGTAAAATTGTTTTAACTATATTGTTGTCATTTTATTGTTGTCAGCCGCCTAGAGTAATCTTAATTGATTAGATAGGCGGGATACAAATAAAATAAATAAATAAATAAATGTTTAAAAAAAACCCAAAAACCCAAGAATGGTTGGAGGCAGTAAAATAGGCCAAAATACAAGACACCCAATCAAGAGAAGACGAATTCAATATGGAAGGAATAGGTCTAATTTACTTCTAGGATCCTTTATACCAGGGGTGAGCATCCCTCTAAAACGTGTTGGACTACAACTCCCATAAGCCCCAGTCAGCGTCACCCATGGTGAGAAAAACAAACAGCCCATCATCTCCTCAGAGGCCACACTGAGAACCTCCAAATGTTTGTGGAAAAATTATTCAGGGGATCGACAGAAAGCACTTTGCATACGCTCAGAGGTATTCCCACATATTAGTCTCAATATCCAAAATTGATCCTTGACATTCATGGGATTGTGCTGATGAACAGAATAAGGAAGTTGGAAGGGGCTTCTCGGGCCACTGAGTACAAATTCCCGCTCAGTCAGGGAATCCAAATCAAAGTGGGTATGACAGACGGTCATCCAATTTTCTCTCAAAAGCCTATAGAGCTCACAACTCCGAGGTCATTGATTCCATTGTCGTACTGCTCTAACAGTTAGGAAGTTTTTCCTGACATTCAGCTGTAATCTGGCTTCCTGTCACTTGAGTCCATTAGGATGAGTCCTGCACTCTGAGATGATCCAGGAAAAGATCCTTCCAGAACTAGTACCTCGCAGGATTCGGTGACCATACTGCCATTCATCGAGGCTAAAATGGTATTGGCCTATTTTGCAGCCACGTCGCACGTCTGGCTCCTATTCAGCTGGGGGTCTACGACAATTCCAGGATCCTTCTCGCGAAAGATCCTTCCAAAGGGGGGAAAAAATCCCGCAATACGGCTCCATGTTGCCACGTTGGACCCTTTCCACCCTTGTTTCCAAGTCCACCACCACCACCGAGGGAGGCTGAGGTACTTACGAATCTTTGGGAAGCCCCGGAGGAGCCATCGGAAAACGGATCTCCCTAAGCAGGACAGAGAGGATCCCCTTGGTGGCCTGGCAACCTTCCCGACCCTTCTTCCCTCGTTGTCAAATGACAGCTCCACCTGGGAGGAAAACCAAAAACATTTAAATTAAAAAAAACACACACACTAAAGTAGCAGAAGGGCCAAACCTGCCTTGCAGGGAGAGAAAAATACAGGTGCAAGCGCAAGGGAGAGGAAGCGCCTGAGGACACCGGCTCGTCTTCTTTCGCATTTTTCCATGTTCGCTCAACGAGAATCGCGCCATCAGATCCCTCTCCTTAGGAAATGTACGTCTTCCTTCTTCGCACCTTCTATCCAGAGTTTTGAGCGCTTGATAGAATTTTTCCTACGCTTTCTACATCTTTGTATGCAGTTCGAGTGCATAGCTTTTAGCTTTCGATATTGTCTTTTAACGAGGTAAGCCGCCTTTCTATGCCCATCCTTTTTAGCTTTCAATATTGTCTTTTTAAGACTCCTTGAGTCCTTTTAAAGGAGAAAGGTGGGTTAGGAATATTTGAAAAAAATAAATCAATAGTTGAATGACAGTAATATATGTCCCCCTTCCATTGGATAAGTATTAATAAGTAATAATAATAATATAATTTATTGTCATTGTAAGTATATACACAGTATACCCATACAACGAAATTCACAATTCCCTACCCAGATGCACTTCATGTCTGTTGTAACAATTACGGTAATTATGTGCCTTATTCCTGCTCAAGGAATAGATGGCGTGCTCAGAATCCTATTGTAGTTCACTAGATTTTGATCAACAAACTTAACTTACTCCAAGGATCTATATGTTCGTCCTTTTCATTTATTTTACTGTACTGCGGATTTCTTTTCTGCGACTGTGTTCCGAGATCATAACATAAATTTGCAACCCAGATGTTCTCAGCTCCCTTCTGGCCCCCTAAAACTTGTCAGAGGCTGTGGGCTCTTTTACATTTCCGTCTAGCCGTGATGCATGTACCTGGAAGACATCATGGGATGGTTTTTCCATTCACTTCTACATCTCAGGCATCTGTGGACAATTCTGGAACTGGTGTGAAGATGCCTCTTGGATTCTCCCAGTTTGCTTTCTGGACTGGCTGGACTCTGGATTGCTTTTTCACTTTGGATCCTCCACGCCACCTTCGTTTCCTGGATTTCTTCTGTTTGCGGGAACACTGCTTTGCCTCTTGATCCCGGTTCTGGACTCTCCTGTCCAGGCGTGTCTATTCTATTCACGCCGTTCCCTTGCCAAGACTTTGCCCTTGGTATCTGTCCAAAAATGTATTTTCAAAACCAAATAATCCCTAGTGCAAATTCCTAGATTTTCTTTATTGTACACACCCCTGGTCTTCACGGTTCTTAGACGACAGCGGTCGCAAACAGAAAAGCAAACCTCTTTTTACGTAACCTTATAAACGCACACAGTCAGCTGTTTCCGAGAGCCATTAAGGCCCAACAAGGGACAGATGCTGTTCAACTTACAACGAAGCAATAGCCCAGTTGCAATTCAAAAAAATATATATTTCCTGCCTTTGGCCTGCTCGAGCTCAAAGCAGGCAGCGAAGGGTCACAAAAACAGTTTTGCAACAGAGGGGTGGGAGGAAAAAGCAAACAAAACAGAGATAAGCCCTGAATCGTTGACAAGGGGAATAAAAACGGCGGCGTGGCCAGAAAGCAATCCACAGTAGAGAAACCAGTGCATTTATTTAGACACCCGTGCATATATACAGAGTAGCTGATACCACCACAGAAAAGACATAAAACAATATTCCAAGAGGAATTCGTTCACCTTAATTTAGTCTGAACAACATTTAGAATTGGGCAGTTAAGGTTAAGGGAGATGCAGAAACTGGTCGGCTCAAAGGGCATGGAAAATTTCCACCTTTAGAAAGGCTTTTACTAATGCTTGCCACTGCTTCACTATTCACTCACTCACTCACTCACTCACACACACACACACACACACACACACACACACACACACACTGATTTTGTTCAACAAATATTTCATTTTAATGCCAATAGAACACTTGACAGTACAGTGGTGCCTCGCTAGACGATGATAATCTGTTCCACTGAAATCGCTCTTTAGCGAAATCATTGTCTAGCTCACTCACTCACTCACTCACTCACTCACTCACTCACTCACACACACTGATTTTGTTGAACAAATATTTCATTTTAATGCCAATAGAACACTTGACAGTACAGTGGTGCCTCGCTAGACGATGATAATCTGTTCCACTGAAATCGCTCTTTAGCGAAATCATTGTCTAGCAAAAAGCATTTCCCCATTGGAATGCAATGAAACCTGTTTAATGCGTTCCAATGGGGAAGAAGTGTCATTGTCTAGCGAAGATCGGCCATAGGAAAGCCGCTTTGTGAACCACCGATCAGCTGTTTAAATCGCTGCCTTGCGAAGCTTAGGTCCCGAAAACACCCGTTTTGCGAGCGCAGAGGGAGCTGTCAAAATCATTGTCTAGCAAAAATCAGTTAGTGAAGCAGGGACCGAACATTGTCCAGTGAAATTCCCCCATAGGAATCGCTGTTTTGCGAATCGCTAGAGTCATCGCAAAAAGTCAATGTCTAGCGAAAAAACTGTCATGCGGGTTAACTGTCTAGTGAGGCACCACTGTACTGGAAGAGACTGATGTACTATACAAGGTGAGATCCAGACTCAAGTTATACTTGGAGGAAACCCACCACAAATTAATGAAACTCCAATCACTGTTGATTTCAGCCCCACTCTTTCTGTGGGTCTGCTTTAAATATGGCGAAGCCCCGATCCAAGCCACCATCTCAAGAAACCTCGCCACCTTGTTGTGTGGGTCAGGTGGCCTTCTCTGTGAATTTTGTGGCGCGGAAAAATATTGCCTGCTGATTTTTGCAGCTTGAAAGCCCTTGCTGGGTCCATTCCGGCTTGACAACGTGTGATAACAACCCTTTTGGTGGCACGCAAGATTTTGGCAGCAATGCTGTTGTCGCAAAGGGACCAAGCGGGAGCCACAGACGATGCCTTGAGATCCCTAAGAGGAAAGGCTGGCTACAAAGGTGAACAAATACATGGATTTTTTTTTAGCATGACGGCCTGTACTCAGGAGCAGGAGCGCACAGACTCTGGTGGCTTTTATTTATTTTATTTATTGTATTTATATCCCACCCATCTGGCCAATTGACCACTCTGGGCGGCTAGCAACACTTAAAATAAAACAATTTAAACATAACATCAATATACAACATCGATAACCAATTGTTCGAAATGGAAAGAAATGGCTTTTGCGTTTATTCCGCTCTGTCTCTATGAGTAAACCTCTGAGGTCTCCTTTTAGTGGTGTCAAATTTCTGGAAAACGTCCATTTTTTTCCCAGAGGGGAAAAAAACACACACATCTAGAAGTGTTTCGATTTTATAGGTTCTTATGATAAGAACTCTAGAGTTCCTTAGAGATGTAAAATTTCCAAAGATTTCCATTTTTTTTCTTGAGAAAAAACATATTTCTCCCCTGTTGTTTTTTCCCCCATGGGGAAAAAAATGGAAATGTTCAGAAATTTTACATCTTTAGGCAGGCTTGAAAAAAAAAATCTGGGTTCTCCCAGCTGCCTGCCACCCCAGGGCTTTTCCAAAGAGGATGATGGGACCCTCCAGTCTCTGTAAAAGAAAAGCCATCGTTTTTTTTTAAATCCCAGAGAGTTTTTTTCCCCTTTTTTGGCTGCCATACTGCTGACCTTACCTGCGACCCTTAGCATTCTTAGCTCTCTACACCCAGGCTTGAGAAAACCGGTTCCAAGAGACTTTGGTGAGATCCTGCTTTGCGAGGATCAGCGGTTTGATTTGACATCTTTCATTTTATTTTACCTTTCTTCCCCCCCCAACCCCCACTACAGCCTGGGAGACTTGCAGGGCCACACAACCTTTTTTTCCCCGGGAGAAACCCCCGCTGGTGTTTAAAGTCTCCAGCAAAGGCGCTTCTCCGTTCCCACCCTGCCTGCGCGCAAAAGGACGCGGAGGGGCTCCCCCTTTTCCAAAAGCCATGGGGGTGCCCAGGGCATGGGGCGAAGGCCAGCAGCCCCGGGGGTGGCCTCTCTACAAGCCAGACCCACAGACCCACACGCACCCCCCACCCCACCCCCGTGGGGCCAGCCTTAAGACAAGCCAGCTGGGTCTGCCTTCCCGGAGCGCATCGGACGCGTCTTGGTGACTCCGATGGGGACCCCCGTGGGAACGCGCGCACCCCCAGCCCCGGAGCCCAGCTGTTCCCCATATGGCTCCTTCCTTCTTGCCTTCCTCCTCCTCCTCCTCCCGGGAGGCTCACCTGCTCCTCCTCCTCCTCCGGCACCGCCTGGCCTCGTCTCCATCCGGCCAGGGCGCTGCGCTCTCCCTTTAGCGCTCCACCGAGAAGACCCGCTGAGCTCTCCAAGCCGGCCCGGCCGGGAAGGCCCCGGGAGGCTCCCCTCGCCGGGCCTCGGATATTTGGGGGGGGGGGAGGGAAGCAAAGGGACGCCGCCGCCGCCGCCAAGCCAGCGGGGCTTACGCGCCCGCGCTGAATCATCCGCCGGGTACCTTGGTGTCCGTGAGCGCAAGAGGGCGCGCGCGCGCCTCGCTCGCTCGCCTGCCTCCCCGCAGCCCCCCAACGACAGCCCTGCGAGGTAGGGCCGGGCTGGAGCTCCCACCTTGGATCATACCCCCCCCCAAGATCTTCTGGGAACTGCAACGCCCAGAAATCCTGGCCAGCCCTGCAAGAGGGGAAGGCTTCTGGGAAGCGCGGTCCGAGAACATCTGGGGACCCCAGTCTGTGGATGGATGGATGGATGGATGGATGGATGGATGGATGGATGGATGGATGGATGGATGGATGGATGGCATGGCTTCTCCGCCTTCAGTCCTTGAGGAGAAACAGGGAGGGAGAAAATATCAGCAGGTACCGTGTCTGCGTGTCAGGTAAAGGTAAAGGATCCTTTTTGGTATTTGGCAACTCACGGTTTTTGAATTTTAATATGGACTTCCAATGGTGTAAGCTGCTTTGGCTCCTTTTAAAGGAGAAAGGATACATAAAAATATGTGAAATAAACCAACTCCAACAAACAGACGGAGAGACAGACAGGTAAAGCCGCTCCTTAAATACCTTAAAGGTAAAGGTTCCCCTTGACATTGAGTCCAGTCGCGTCCGACTCTAGGGCACAGTGCTCATCCCCGTCTCCAAGCCGTAGAGCCAGCATTTTGCCCGTAGACAGTTTCCGAGGTCACATGGCCAGCGCGACTAGGGAACGCTGTTTTACCTTCCCACCGAGGTGGCACCTATTTATCTACTCGCATTTACATGCTTTCGAACTGCTAGGTTGGCAAGGAGTTGGGACAAAGTGACGGGAGCTCACTCCGTCGTGTGGATTCGATCTTACGACTGCTGGTCTTCTGACCCTGCACCACAGAGGCTTCTGCTGTTTAACTCCTGCTGAAATCCAACAGGTAGGGAGTCAGGTTGCAGCCCAGAGGCTTCTGCGGTTTAACTCCTGCTGAAATCCAACAGTAGGGAGTCAGGGAGCGAATGGGCCACCGGCCAGAGTTTCAAGCCCGTGGCCAGCCTTCAGAAGGACTGGGAATCTGGGTTTGGTTTCTCTCTGACTGTTTGCTGACAAATCCAGGCCAGAGAAAAATCTCATTCCTGTGGACTTCAGTTCCCAGAATCCACCAGAGGGGTGAGAGGGTTCTGGGTCTTGTGGTTTTTAAAAAAAGGTCCCCTTTCTAAACTCTGAGCCTCACAGGCAGGAGCAAGAGGCAGAGAGCCTGCACAAAGGACACCCCCAGCGACCCCCCCCCCCAATTTCTGACCTGCATTCTTGACAGCCTTCCGGCGGGAGGTGTCGTTTGAACGGCATTTTTCTGTAATAGAAATAAAAAGAGCAAGACAAAATCAAATTGAATGACTAAGAGCATGACTCTTTAAAAAAATTAGATGTCAAATATCTAAATAATAAGCAGTGAGCATAAGAGGCACATCAGGAAATAATGGATCAGGAGCAGAGTAGAAAGAGGGAGGTTGTCATTTTGAAATGTAGATACATGAATGTAAGAACGTAAGAGGAGCCCTGTGCTGGATCAGGCCGAGGGCCCATCTGGGCCAGCTTCCTGCCTCTCACGGTGGCCCCGCCAGATGCTGCTGGGAGCCCATGAGACCCCTATTTCCTTATCCCCCTCCCCTGCATCTGGCATTTGGAGGTGCCATGCTTTGAAGCCTGGAGATTGTACATCTCAGCATGGCTTGAATTGTGGTGATGGAGGAGACTCTTAAGAATCCCTCGGACTGCAAGGAGATCAAACCTATCCATTCTGAAGGAAATCAACCCCGAGTGCTCACTGGAAGGACAGATCCTGAAGCTGAGGCTCCAATACTTTGGCCGTCTCATGA